CATTTTGGGGTAGAAAATTGACGAAAAATATTTCTTTTTAGCAAAACGTTTTGACAAAAAACGTAAAAATTTTATCAGGCTATTTCTAAGCACGCAGGATACTCGGCATGATTATTTTTTGAATAATAAATTATAATAATAAATTTTGGAACAAATTATTTATATTTTGTATTTAACTTGGAATAATTTAAAAAGAAAATACAGAAATTCAGAAGCAATTACGTTTTGACACATTTGGGCAGAAACCTTAGTCATTATAATTTTTAGGTAATAATCATAAAAAAAATTCGTATTTTTCTTAGTTCCGGGAGCAAACCTCTCGAAATTATGTCTTTTCGTCGCAGTATACAGGATGTTCGGTCCAAGTCGCCTCGGCCGATACACCTAAACTTAATTGTTTTTTTTCAAAAACTAAATTTTCAAATAATACTATTTATTCCGCGTTTTTTTGGTAAATGCATCAAATTTTTTTGGCACATCCGGTGTAGCCGGAAATGCTACCAAATTTAGTTTTTCAAATGGAACACCTATGTTTTTTTTCCTCGAAACAAAAATAATTGACATAAAAGATACGGTAAACCACTATTTATTACATTTTACTTCACATAATGCACTCAGAAAACAATTTAAATTTTTGAATTTTATTGCAAATTTTGCAACGTAGGCGGATTTTACTTGTCAAGGTATTCATGAAAAAAGCAATAAGCTTGAATACCGTTTAATTCTTAGTTTGACAAAGCCTAATTTGTCAATAAATCTTATTGAGATCTTTAATAATGGATGTTATTAATTTCGACGAATTAGTAGATCAGCTTGAAGTGTTTTTTTAAGTGCAACAAAAATAGAGCGGAAGCTGAAAGACAGTATAGAGAAAAATACTCAAATAGAATTCACCCAAATCGTTGAAAATTTAATCGAATTGAAAAACAACTGAGACGAATAGGTTCGCTTCTTAAAACTAAAAAACCTGTGGTTCTTTGTGAAGAACAAGAAAATAGAAATCTGAATGTTCTGTTATCAGTCGAAGAAAATCCAAGAGGTTCATAATCTCATAAACTGACAAATTAAATTTGTCAAACCAACAATTAAACTGTATCCATGCATTTTTTTATTCACACCTTTCCTTTAAAATTAAAAATCAGGCTACGCGATCAATTTCCTTATAAAATTCTAAGACTTAAGATGTTTTTTGATTGCATTGTGTTACACAAAATGTAATAAATAGTGGTTTACAGTATTTTTCATGTCAATTATTATTGTTTGGGGAAAAAAAAACATAGGTGTTCCATTTGAAAAACTAAATTTGGTAGCATTTCCGGCAACACCGGATGTGCTAAAAAAATTTAATACATTTATTAAGAAAGCCAAGAATGAATATTATTACTTAAATATTTACTTTTTGAAAAAAAGAAGTAAGTTTAGGTGTTATCAGCCGGGGCGACTTGGACCGAACACCCTGTATAATTACGACTCTATTGCATGCTGTGATTTAAAAAAAATTCTCCGCAAAGTTATTTTACCTCTGGCGTTGCATTGGCACCGCTGCATTTACCAAAAATATAAAATTCTCTTCCACACATCTGTAATTTACCTCAAGCACGTAATTATATAGAATTTGTATGGTCAGGAACCCGAGATAAACATTTTCTTTTTGGTAATACATTTCGCGGTCGGTTGACATATTGCAATCGCGAGACTACGTTGAATATTATACTGTAACATTCTTCACTAATTGCCGTATTAAAAACATCACTGTGGGAAGGAATTTTAAGAATGTACAAGACCATTGTTTAAAATGAAGTCAACCGTAATGGCCGGAAGAGTTGAAGATGGCGACGGGGTTGCTTGTAACAGGAAATTAATACACGCTTTAATCAAGAGATTTTTTACACGACTATCAATACACGTGTGGGGAAGTAAACCGAAAGCTGAACACTAACTGTACTTTTTCTTTCGACAGCGAAAGCTAATTACCAAAATTTTAAATTTATTCTTCAATAAAGCTTTAATAAAAAAACAAAAAATAAATACATACAGGATTGCCTCCAGAAAATAATAATTAAAGTAATATTAATAATGTGATCGTACGAGTACTTTGAGAACAAAATTTTATTTTATTTTTAAAAATTAAATATAAAGTAGATAGTTGTAATCCTTAGATTATAACCTTCATGAGAAAAACAGTTTTATAGTGAGTTGCCATTTAAAAAAATAAAAGTTTTCTAGAACTCAAAAATAAAAGAAAATTTCGAAAAAAATTTTACTTGACAAAATGTCACATTCAATGTGACAATGTCATTCATCAATTAGTTTTTCCAAAAAATAAATCGTTTAAGCATACTTTTTATTCACCTGGTATGTTAAATAGTGGTTTCAAACAAGACAATGTTGCTTGACAATAATATACCCATTTTAAAAATGTTGGAAAAAGTTTATTTTTTTTTAATAAGAAAGCAAGCACATTAAAAATATGATACTTTATTTTTTTTATAACCGAGACTCGTTATAGAGGAGTATCACTGTAATACCATTCTCGACGGAATCAAGTATCAATATTTCAAGGACAAGTACAAGAAAATGGAGAATTAAAAATATGTATACAGATAATTTTTTTATTTCTACAGATAGCCCTACAGGTATATTGAACCATCGCGTTTTGAATTGTTTAAAATTTATATTAAATTGCAACTACTTTGAAATATTGACGTTTTTTATAATTGCATATGTAGGTAATAATAATAACATATGCATTGCGTATGTTATTAAAAAAACGCATATAATTAATAATATTTTTATTAATATTGTTATTTGTTATACTAATCGTTACCAATCTTGGCGAGGTAAATAACACCAAGTCTAGTCATTATAAAGCTCTCAAATTGATACAAAAAATTCGTTTGGTAACTTTGTTTCACTCTCAAAAGATTTTCTATTTTGTGGTTGTTCTACGCCGAAAATTGTTGCTTTTTCAATTCTACAAATCCGCCATTTGAAAATATTCAAAGTTTAGTTCTTTATTTTGATAGAGTAAGAAAGTAATCGTATTAATGGAGGTTCGGATTAACGGAAGTTCGGATAATCGAGTTCCTACTGTAATAAAATAAAATTTTCATCGTTTTGCAGTTTTAAACAGAATAAATTGTCTAGTTGTCTAGTGGTGAAAACTAAATTATACCTTATGAAAAAAATGTTTTTAAAACTGCAAGATTGATGTTGATGGCTCCAAAGAGAAACTTATTATCATTTATCTTATAGTATGACTTTTATGCCTATAACTATGCCGCCACTTCGAAGAATATATAGCTCTAGTTTTCTTCCTGCTTTCCACCGTTTCCAAACAGTTAGATCCGGCGCCAATTTTGCATTTTTCCCCATCTCTGGTGCCTCATCTTATTTACACCGGCAGCTGCCGATTATTTATAACAAATACGGTGCCAGCGCCACGCTCCGACCTTTCTGGATTGTGGGCACCTGGCGAAAAGGAATTCACCTCTACACATGTCGAGGCAGATGTTCGACGGACATACACTTTCTGGCCACAATTTCGGCCTTCATCCGGCACCTTAAGGTTTCACTCCAGACGGTGGTGGCTTTATCATAACATACAAAAATCACGGAGAATTTCGCGAATTCCCCAGACTGTATTTTAATTCGAAACAAATGTAGAATATCACACACGTGTGCTTTGAAGGGTAAAATGCATGTGGTCACGCGACCGCCAGCTGCTTGGATGTTTCCGCCCGCACGTCTTCTTCTACAGGGTGTTGACCAACGGGGTGACCAACTATTTTGTAATCTAACACACTGTATGCTAATCCGGAAATGGGAAACTAATTAAGTGCTCGTAACTGAGTTTAAAGCTCCTCGATTTATAAATAAAACATTTTTTTAAAGAGTGTTTGTGAAAAAATTACGTAACTATTTAGTGAATGGTATAATTAAATCAAGTCTTAAAGAGTTAATTCATACACTTTCCATTACGTTATTGCACCTTGTTCTCGTTAAAAATGTGGATAAATAATAGATGTTGGTCAATACACTTGGGAGAAGTTACATGTGACGTTTGTAATGCTTTTGGGATGTAATGCTATAACGAGAGTAATGAAAATGTAGCATGAAAGGGGAACAGTCGGATTAAATTTCACCATATTAAAAAAATATTCAATATAATGTGTCAGAATTTGTTTAGTGGTTAAGTAAAGTAGAAGTAATTAAGTGGTAAAAAATTAGTTACAGGTGGACACTAATATGAACTTTTTTTGTCTTTTTTCCGCAACTAAACTCTGGTCATCGAAGAGGTTAACAACGTGACCGTAATACTACTTTTTTATTAGCTGTTAAAACGAACCAAACAAAACCACGTGATTACGCATGCGACATTAATTTTAGTTTAGCCTTAAAAAATTATAAAGATAAATGAAAATTCTACCAGAATACTGGATACCACATTTCACTAGACAAATAAAGAGAGAAAAATAAGATAGTTTTCACAGTTGCTACAAATCAATGTGAGTGTGGAGCGTAAAGTTTAGTTTCGTCTCTAGGCGAGTAAGCAACTAGTTTTTATAAATAAGAAAATAGACGAATATTTTTTATTTCGCATAGAGATAACTTTCATTTTCATGTGTGTGCAACGTTTTTTTAACTTATCTATTTTTTTTTTCGATTTACGACACGTGTCCATAGACTGAATTAGTCTTCATAACCATTTAATAACTCTGGGGTACACTTTCTAAATAGTTATGTTAATAGTGGGTAAAATGTATAATCTTTGTTTCCTTATAGACTCACTCCAACTTTGTAATAGCCATTTACTGTTGTTTATATCTTTTTATTTTTACAGCGTATGTTATGGGTCAGCACCATAAATGAGTAATTGACAACTCAGGCCGCGTCCAGTTAATGTATCTTTTCTAATAAACAAAATATTTAACTGTAAATCAGCGACAAGAAATAACTTTGAGTATTTCTCGCACGAATGTCAAAATTATCAAACTCACCTGTAAATGTTAAAGTACAGCGGTATTTCCATTGTGTGTACAGTTACATCAAAAACCAGGAAATAGTCCTTAAAATCAACAATCCCACAGCACAATATCACTTTTCTCCGTTTCTCTTTATCGCAACTAATTTTTAAAATAATTCTACGTCCGTAAATAGCTCTTATCTTGCAGTTGGCCTTTACAGAAATAAATGTGCTACTGTTGAAGAACCCTCCAAATGTTCACATACGCCGTCAACAACAAATCTCAGATAAGTCGATCCGAATTATGGCATATGGCAGAAACGTTGTTTAATTTAAATAATCGGTAGAGCACAGGTGAAATTATCCGAGTGGAGAGCCTCAATAAACGAGAACAGTTACCGTAAAGTGGAACGAGATGTTAATCGTAATTTTTTAAGATTTTTATGCTAATAAACACGCACCTGAAAACACAAACACCACTTTTTCGCGGCTCACAACAAATTTCGCACTTGAAATAATCCCTTTTTTTTGAAACGGCTGAAACTCGAACACTGTGATGAAGTCGTGTTACAAATATTCTGTCACATGTTACTCTAGGAAATAATTTAAATTATTATTAATAAAACGGTATAAATTTGCATTGGAAGTGCTTGTCGTACCACGCATTGCTACCTTTCATTTTTATGTTTACAATTAGATAATTAAATAGTTGGAACATAGTTGCAAGAATAATTATCAATAACAGTAGCAATTAATTTTCATTTATTGAATTATTAGAGATCTTAATTAAAATAGTCAAGATCTCTCGAAGTGGGTGATTTCACACCGGAGTCTAATTTTTACTACAAAAAATACATTTTTAGCAAAAAACTCTTGAAGAAATTTATATAAAGCAATCAAAAACGTTTTCAGGGTGGTAAGAATATTAGAATACAGGCTGATTCAAGTGAGATGTTTGTATGAGAAATCTTCGAAATTAAAAGTTTTAGGAGAAATGAAAGACACATTTTCGAGATCATTTTTTGATAAATACCCGCTATCGTTGTTTTTTTTTTGTTTTCGAGTTATAAACAAAAATTGATATTTTAGCGAAATTTTGAAAACATAGTTTCTTCGTTATTATACAGGGTGTCAGAACTCGCACCCCAAGAAAAAGTTACAAGTAAAAGTAAGATAAGATACCAGGAACATAGAAAAAATGTTTTAAAAATACTATCTGTAAAAAAATTTTGACATATATTTTTTGACATTTGACATTTTTTTGTCTATTTAATGATATTGATAATGTTGTATAAAGTCGCGGTTAATTCATAGTAGCCACTTTCCTGTGGAAATTTGTAAAAATTCAGTTGTGTAAATCCGACTTTAAACAACCAATTGTTTTTTTTTTTTAGAGAAATAGGAACATATCTTTCTAAAACGACAATCCTGAAAAAATCGGGTTAGAATACTTCACATATAAAATCTACTGCGCCTGTCACAATTGTTGACACAATTTAGTTATTTCTGTTACCAACATAGACACAACCCATACACTAGAGATGGAGGGCTAAGGGCTGCCAAGTTTGCAATAAATAAATAAATAAATGGCCACTATAAATTGACCGCGACCTTTTTATAATTATTTAGTACAAAAATTTTACCAATAAAAGTAACAAATAACATTAAACAGAGTTACAATTTAAGATACAGTTTCCTTGTTTACTCTTTTATTAGTCTATAGCAAAAAAATTTGGAAAATTATTTTTCCAACAGAAATAAATAGAGTGAAAGTGCAAAATTTAAACTCTCATAACTTCGAAATTTTTATAGATAAAATTTTTTAAACTTTTTTTTCCATTTCATCTTACATGGCATTTTTCTCTGGGGCGCCAATTCTAGTGCACCCTGTAGAAGATTTCACATTTAAAATAAAAACATTATAAGAGAATTTTTTGCGTAAAATTTAATACTGTACCTAATCACTGACTTTGTTCAATTATTTGTTTAGCTGCAATAGGAAAAAGTTGTATTTTTAGCTATGACACTTTTGGTAAGTATAATTATATTATTATTTACAACCATAAAATGGATGCTTGTAGTTTATTTTGTTCAGTTTCCTCCCTCAATTATTTTTCCACTTGTTTCAATTTTAATGACTGCAAAAGGTTCATTGTGTTTTCCGCTTGGTTTCGTTAACTTTTTATGGTTCGCCAACATTTGCAAATTAAACAGCATATGCTTCAACAATAATAATACACTCGCACTAATTACTATTATCTTTATACGATCTATAAATTTATCGTTTTAGTAAAAATTCTACATTATTTTTTCATCATCCTTTTGGCAAGTGCAACAAATTTCTGCATCTAGCTCATCCTCGTCGTCAGTCAGGTCTTCAGTGTGTCTCAGATCGTCGTTGAAATAAAGATTGACACTTGGGACGAAGAAACTTTTTGGTATTCCTAATTCGGCCATTTTTTCGCGATCGTCGGGGATTCCATTCTCGTCCATGGTCTTGTCCATTTCGATCAGTTTATCCATATAACTAGAAAACTGTCTAAAATTTCGAAAAAACTTTGGAAAAAAAATTACACCCAAGTGTAACTATCAGGTTCTGAAGTATACAACGAGTAGCGTTCTTGAATTCTGTAAAAACTATCCTCGCAACACACATTTATCACAACGGCCTTCCCCAGCAAAATATTTATTATTTTAATCGGACGCACTAGTTTGGTTAAAACCCCAATTTGGTACCTAAACCCCCTCGTTAGCTATTTTTCCGGCAAAAGTCTCACTTACTTGTTGTCTAACCACCACGGGGTCCCCTCAAGTGGCCTCCACGTTGTCGATGGTACCTGACAGGCGACGTCTGGAAGAGGTCCATGGGGGCAATAAGGAACAAGGACACCGGTCACAGGATGAACAAAATGTTGAATTTCCCCAGTTTTCTCGTCAAACCAGTGGCTAACGTCTTTGCCGGCGAAAGCAAGGATCGGTTTAATACAATCTTTGTCTTTGTACTCTCTCACAAGGGGTGTGACATCGAGGACTCGCCCGAGAAGGGACAACCAGCAATCGTTGGGTTTGTTATGGGTTATTACTTCAAAAGGGGCATAGACTGCGAGCTTAATTTCGGTCATTTTTTCAAATTTTGACGTTTTTTGTCAGAATTAGGAGGCATAAGGCATGTCGCGTGTTTAATGTAAAATGTAGATTACGATACAAAATGCGATTATTTCGAGGAAGGGGACGCGGCAGAGCGTGTATCCTTGTGGTAAGATATAAAAAAACACATTTGTTGCTCTTAAATTATGAAGTAAGCTCGAGTCTTGAATAATTAGCGATTTTAAGATTATTAAATGCACACACTGTTAATTTTTTATTGAAAATGACAAAAATGTTGTAAATAGAATAATAGACAAAAACAGTTAGTTTAGACCACATTTTTAACTGGTTGCGTGCATGACTGCATCTGAGAAATGATTTTAATATTACTATTTTAGTAATAATCGTTATAACTGATCTATTTATTTTGTTATTGTTTTATTGGTTAATAACCAATTATTTGTTCCGTTAAAATTGCTTGAAAAATAGTTAAGAAATGCTAATTAATTTAATAGTGGCGCTTATAGGCACCCCACCTAAAGCAGCGTTTTATTGGTTGCCTAGCCTCCACTTACCAAGTTTTAACTTTTATCAAGAAAAAATTTCCTATGCTGATAATGGAGGAAAGGGCTTGGCTTTTAGCAATGAAAGTCGTGTGTTTAGTTTTTTGTTTAATTTGTGCTCATAATACAAGTACACAATAAATAATAATACAAGAAAAAATAAAGGAAAACGATGATAAAATTTCAATATTAAAACAAAAATTATGAAAGTAAAAATAAGTAGTCCGTTACTAAAATTAGGTGGTTGAATAAAAAATTACAAGTAAAGACCGTATTAAAAGCAGTATTATGCTAATTAATAAATGTCGCTAAGTATCGATCAACAAATTTAATTTCAGAGAAGGCAGAATTCGATGAACTGCGTCTTGCATCATCGAAACGGCCTTATCTAGACCTAAAAGCACCTGATTATAAAATTTTACCATAGTAACTTTTTAAATATATTTACAAAAAAAGTGCATTAGCAATCACGGCGACACACCTAAGCAATAAAAAGCGAACTTAAAGGTAAATACATACAAAAATTTTCTCGATTGACGCGTATACAAAGTCAACCGTTTTAAAGTTTTTTTTCTTGTTTCAAGTAGGTCATTATAAATTATTATTAAATCTTACATATGGAAGTCTTTCTTTATATCCACACCACATAGAAACTCAATACTAAATTACCACAGCTCTATACATTCAGTTTTTTTAATATGGGCGTAAGTTATAAAATTTATTTTAAAGTACCAGTTATTCATATTAGATGTATAATGCTAAGTAGGTAATAGAAATCGTTAGTATGAAATCGTTCAGTCTGCAGCGTTAGTGTCAACAATTAATTTATTATCAATGGGCGAATTATCTTTCATTAATTGTGAATCACTATCGTTTACGGCGTTATTTACTAGTGTTATCTGTTCGGTTACTACAGTTGTTACGCCATTCTGAACGGGCTTTTCGATCTTCGTAGTCTTAGTCTTGCTTACGGTGCGGGTAATTTCGAGGGGTTTCTTGCCAGCGGCGGCGCCAGGCCGCGTCGTGCTGGATGTGGTCGTTTTCGTTACGGTCGTTCGAGTTGCCGTTCCAGTTGTCTGAAATTACAAAACCACAATTACCACAAAAACAGATGCATTTCTCGCATTCTCCAAAAAATACTAATCCACTTAAACACTTTCTAGGCCACTTCTCGTGTGAACTAAATAAAATCCAAAGGCCACTTTGAATGTAATTTGCGCTATTTTTTCAAGTTCAAAAAGCATTTATTTTGTGCACTTCTCACCTTCGACTCGGTTTTTCGCACCGTCCCGGTTGTAGTCCTTGCTGATGCAGCTCTCATAACAGTACGCGAAGCTGTCAATTTATTCGCACTATCTTTACTTTCCTTATCCTTATCGGCCGTTTTCGTCACAGTTTTGCTTAGAGGCACCCTAGGTTTGGCCGGAGCTGTAGTCGGCCTTGGTTTCGGTGGCGAAGCAGTTTTAGTTGGCGACGATGTCGTTTTCGACGTATTCAACTGGAAAAAAAAACACAATAAATCTTTGAATCCCCCAACAGACAATCAAGTCACCTTGGAAGCAGTCGTCGAAACTGTCGTCTTCGTAGTAGTACTAGTCTTAACCAAAGTATTAGGCCTTGGTTTAGGCGCTGTTGCAGATGTCCTTGTTGTTGTGGTAGTCCTCGTAGAGGACACCATTGGGGGCCTTGGAGCCGCAGGTTTAGTCGTAGTACTCGCTTTAACCGCCGGTTTGGGTGAATCGACTGATTTTCGTGCGGTTAAATTCGACCTAACCGGTGGTTTAGCTTCGCCGTTAGTCAACGGTTTCTTCTCTGTGGTTTTCGTTGCAGCAGGTTTGGGCTTGGGAGCCGCCGCTTTCGCAACCGTTTGTTTAGGTACAGCCCCAGTGGATGGTTTTGGAGCTGCAGCTCTCGCCGAGGTTAATGGTTTCGTTTTTGGAGTTGTTGTCGGTTTGGCTTTCGCCGGTGACGCTGTAGAAGGTTTCGCAGGTGTGGATTTCTTGGTCGCCGTTGGTGCTTTAGCTTTAAGTTTCTTTTCAGGGGCTGGAGCAGCCACTTCGGGGACGACTTCCGGTTCTTTGACGGTTTCCTGGGGCGATTCTTTCGATTCAGTGGGTGAAATAACAGCCGATTGGGCAAATTCGGGAGTGATAGTTTCAGTCTTAATTTCGGTCGGTTGGGGGTAAACGCAGGTGGGGTCTTGGAATACAAGAGTGTGATCACCGGGACTTTGCAATGGTGACGTGAGATCGACTATTTCTGACCTTTCGAGGAACGAATTAACATCAGCTGTGGCCACAGATTCGGTATCTGTCACTGATTTAGGAGTGGATAGCGCGATGTCGGGTACTAAAGTCGGTTCTCTGATCGGTGACGAATCCTCGACAGGTGGTACAATCTCCTGAACAGCGCTATTAACTTCTTGGGCAAAATTCAACTCGATCGGTTCGGTTATAACCTGATCTGGGACCGGTGATGTCACCGGTGACGAAATATCCTTAACCGATGATGTGATATCTTCGAAAGGAGACTCGACTGAAACTTCCTTCTTTTCTTCCACTTCCACGGGTGCGAACATGACATCAACCGATTGTTCCGGTTCGGGACTTTTTGGCAAAAATTCCTGTTCGGGACTTTTTGGCAAAAATTCCGGTTCGGGACTTTTTGATAAAAATTCCGGTTCTGAACTTTTCGGTAAAAGTTCGGGTTCCGGGGACAAGACTGGAGGTTGAGGAGACACTGATAGGGGTGAAGGAGACATAGCTTGAGGTTGTGGTGACAATGCAGGAGGTTCCGGGGATTCAATTTTGAGTAAGTCTTCTTGTGGCTTCGGCTCCGGTTGCAAACACACGTCCGGAAGCGTATCTTTGGCAAAGTTGCACTCGATCAAATCGTCAGTTTGAGGTTGAGGTGATTTAGATAATTCACAAACCCCACTTGAATCGTCATCGTTTGATACGGGAGATGCCAACTCTTTCTCGTTATCAAGATCTGTAGTTTGAATCCTTTCGTCGTTATCGAGAACCACATCGTTGGAAATTAAATCTTTGGTTGGGTCGTTGGAAAGTGTCTCCTCGGATTTGTTCAAAAACTCATCTAAATTTTCTGGGAGTAGTTGAACTTTGTTCAAGTCGAAGGGATCCGAGTCAGCGCTGGTTTTATCCTGATAAAACGACATCGACATTGGATCGTCTTCCTTCTTAAAATCGGTGATATCCTGCGAGGTATCCATACTCGTATCCAGGTTGGACTCATCCCCGAAGACGGCTTTGGTAGACAATCCCGCCTCCGATTGGTCCATCATTTTTGGCGTGAAAGGTGCAGCATTCGGCCCGAAATGAAACTCATCGCCCAGAGCGCTGGCCATTTTCGTAGGAGTATTTCCGGGTTGAAATTCCGGTATTTCGTCGATGTTTTTCCCGTTTAGGATATTCTCAATTAAATCTTGCGAAGACGGTTTCTGTTCCTAAAACAAACAACTTATCTTATCGGCAAAGTTTAATGACACTAAATAAAAAAACAAGAGCACAAAATAAAGACAACACTTACGTCTTCATGATCGTGACCGTTACTGAACGAATCGAAATCGCTCGGTCGAGATTTAACTTCGTTTTCAAACTCTTGCGGATTGGGCAAACTGATATCAATTTCGCTCGGTCTTTTCGGCGATTGGGCAATGACGGGATCGTTTATCAAAGCTCTGCACGCAGGCGAAGGAATGCTTCGGGTCGGCGAGACGGGCACGAATTCGGCCGCATTCGGGTTTAATTGAGACATGTTGTCTGGATCTTCCAGAATTTGCGCAACCTTATTGGAGAAAAATTAAAAATAGAAAAATTAAGGGTTGGTAAAGGAGGGATTACCTCGCAGTCCGGCTGCGACGGACTGATGTTCTCTTTGTTGGCTTCTTCTCCTTTGATGTAGTTCCACTCGTCTTCGGATTCCTCGCCACTGTCGCCTACGTTCTCCTCTAACCCACCATCATGAACTGGAAAAAAGAAATAAATACGATAAAATGAAAACTGCAAAAACTGTAAAATTCAGAATTTTTCCTCAGCCTCGGCAAAACCTTGGTACACATCGCCAACGTGAAAATCCCGCGTATGTCACCCACGGGGCTCTGGGGGTCCGTCATACGCATATGGAAGTTCTTAAGCCACACCCCGGACAAATTACATGTCCGGGGACAGGCCTGTCGCTACGGGGCCATCGATCGAGTCCGGGTGCAACTGCTCCGTTGTCATATGCAAGAGATAATTTCGCGATGATGATGGCAATTGGTGTGGGTCATGGGCAGTGCCACAGGCTTGGGAAATTAAACTAATGGAATTTACTGATCGTTTCTATTTGCTTCCCTCAAGGGTAATCCCGACCCTCGTCGCGAAAATGTGCTATTTCATCGTCAACTAAATCATAAATTAACAACAAAAACTACATTTTTTTAGTATTTGCACAGTCGCCATTACACTATCGATACAAAACACCGTCTGGTTTTTTGGTTTGGAGTCTCGAGTACTTGATGATTGTTCAACAGGTGGGTTATTAAGTGAGCCCTCGCTGATAAGAGGACCATTACAACCACCCGACTAGACAATGGAGGACGCGGTGCGAGATCACGCCCGTTCGCATGCAACAGTTTCCGCCTCGGTGATGCAAATTACAACAATGCGAATATTACGCGTTGGTGGATTAACCAGACGACTCCTGACAGGTATAATGCATGATGGATGAGCTTTACACACCGCCAAAACGTAAGCATAATTATTGGGTACAATAGGTGCGATTAGTGTAGCACAGTAGTGTTGAAAAAATGCCATTATTAATGGTCGCAGGGACGTTGTTCAAAATGATGCGAGTTTCCCAATGTGGAAAGTTGTTTCATTCATAACTAAACCCAAAAAATGATTTGCTTTAATTGTCGATTTCAAAATTCACACACGTTAAAATTTTCACTTTGCTACTACCATAAAAATCTTATATTGCAGTCATTTGAAATTGATAGAAGTCGGCTTCACGAAAAGCCCATTTTGCCCCACAATCAGTTCGATAATGATGCAATCGTCCCGGCGTGTAACAAAGACACTTTAAGGTCGATAAGAGCCGAGTTCACCACCCCTATCTAATCTTCTTATCGATTACGTCTGGCACAATTCACCGACACGCAGCTTTGGCAAAAATGCAAATTTCCGTCGTCTTTTTGCACAGAAAAAGCCTTTCAACGACACGGTATTGTGTAAATCTTTCTAACAATTTAATTTGTAACAGTATCAATGTCCATGGAAGCAGGTTAATAAATATTTACTTCTTCCTCCACATTGTTTTTAATAACGATAAATAGTAGGTCGAAATGTAAATTTCTCAACCCACTTTCACACCGATCAAAGAAATTTTAAGTTTCGATAATGTTGAAAAATCGACGATAAATCGTGATAAATTTGCACGGCGCGCCCCTTCGAATCAAATTTATCTTTGTTGTTGCATCTGGGTGAGGAAAAGATAAATTTGCAGATAAAACAATGCGAGATAATGGAGTTTCATTACGAGCAGATTGATGGCTCGCTTAATGTAGAAAAATTTCACTCGAAATTGCTAGAGAAAAAACAAAACTTTTCCACAACATGTAATAAGTAGCGTGTGACGACTTGATTTAAATAAGTCAGTCTTGCTTATGTTCATTTAACAACCAATTAAACGTTACTACAAGTAATACCTTTTAAATAAAACAAAACGGAAGCCGAACACGACCAAAATTATTTCAGTCTATGACCTTTCAAATGGCGTTTATAAGAGAAAAATTCTCGAGAAAATTATTATTAATAAGACACTCTAGCACATTTTAATTAACTCGAGAGAAATAAGTGGAAAATTGTAATTGTGAGAATTTTAATTGTGTTAAAATGTATGCGTGAAATAAATGAATAGCGATCTTGAAATCATCTTCATTATTGGTGTTTGCTAAGTTTACTAACATAAAAATTACCAACGTAACTGACATCAAAAAAATAAAATCTTAATTTGAAAATAAATTATTTCTAATGAACCATTGCTTGAAGGAACACCGGAGGATACAGTCGATTAACTTATTTTCTTGCTTTTTGTACCAACTTCTAATTCAATTTACTATTATTAATATGTACAACTTTAAAAAACTTAAATTTACTAGATTTTCAAAATTCAGTTTCAATCATTGTTTCCACTCTATAGTGTCTCAACATAACATTAAGAAAACTTAAATAGAACTACAAAAAACATTTCATGATCATGATTTGAAAATGATCTAATTAAATGACGTAATTCGTTCCCCTTATGAATTAAATTAAATGAATGTCAACAATGATATACAACCTAGATTACGGTGTTTTCGTTAGGTTGTCATTAAAACAACATAAAATATGCGGAAAAACGTCGAATCTATGTAAACTAAAAACTATCAACTTCTAATCAAGAAACTTGCAGGTTTATTTACCAAAATCCATAAATATTCAAGAAATTTGCAGGTATATCAGACTAAAAACTTAAAATTCTGTATGAATTACTCCATAGATAAAACAATGACTAGAATGTTTATGTCGTTGTTTAAACACATTTATCATATTTTGAGTATTTATAATTTAAGGATATGCAGTAAAACATACAATTCGACCAGAACGCTGTTATCACTGCAATTGTTTCTCCCGCAATGCTATTTTTAATCCTAGTTAACCTTGCATAAAACTGTGCTATTTCGAACCGAATTCGGCCTTAACCACATTGCAACGATTCAACTAACGTGACCATAAAAAAATTAATAACCCAAACTGTGAAACCTTGGCCGATAGAAATAAACGATTCTATTGGTTAAAAACTCCGCTTGTCAAAAATTCAACCAATAGAAAGTTTTTCAGACTCATCTAAGCTTTCAAATGTTTATAAAGACGCCGGTTCGTATATGGTCGACATTGCCATTGATTGAGGTAGTCACTGGTATCATACGTGAATAAAATATAATCTTATTAATATGCAAAAAATAGTTGTTAACATTTAACTAGCCGTTTGGTATTTTAAACGTTACAAATTTCTACCTACGTAACCGTTTTAATTGCAACCATGTTAAGAAGACAAACCGAAATTGTAAGGCTTTTTCCAGGTAAAAATGGTCGTTTTTGCGCGAAGATAACCCCAGATATGAGGGCCTTCTCTGCCGGTCCTTTGCCAAAACCGTTCTATAAATAGAATTCCTGTTACAACTACAGGTTATTTTGTACACAAAAGTCGAGTAAAACCCGTCCGAATTGCGTGCTATTCTTCGGTTAATTACGACACTTTTTTGTCTCGACAAAAACGCCAAAAGTGCAGGAAAGTCGCAATGGAACCTAATGACGACTACAACGGACGTACCTTATGACAAGACGCTACAAAACATGAAAAATATCACAGAATCAACAGTAAATACACTTAAAATTAATTTTAGGCACTTGGAACGAAGGAGAACAGCGAAACCTTCTATAAAGCCGGTGCAAGACTGACTCGGGTTGGGTCGTGCAGTGCGTTTGCGCACGAGAGTACCTACTTCCCTAAAAGCGATAAATAAACAAACAATTCCATGTTTTTCTCGCTAAAAACTCAATTTTCACAATAAAAAACACCCCTAAGTCTCATTTGCAAAAAAATCGCCTCCAACCCCACTTTTCCAGACTTTGAAATTTGAATTTTGAAAGTGACAGTAAAGTCGGTGGCTGCAATACCGACCCTCGGAGCGCGCTTTTTGAAATTTTATCATTGAAAAACATTATAAAATACCGTTTGGGTATGAATCGTTTCCTCTGTAAGAAGTGTTTTAATTGTGAGTAGTTGCGCAACCGAGATACAGTTAGATTTCAACGGATATTGAGCTATGCATCGGCATTCCGGGTTAAGTGCAACAAGTGACGCTTTGACATGAAAATTAATGTCGGACGGTATTGATCGAAATTTCGAGAGAAAAAAATACACAAGGAAAAGATTTGAGTCGCTTTCGGTTTCGTGTCGGCGAAGTTGCCTAATAACCTGAGGTGAGATTTACGACGAATTATTGGGAACAGGAACGTAATAGAGAAATTTGAGGCCTACGAAAACATTAACTTAAACCTTTAGTTGGCTTTAAGGAAAATATTATTTTTATTGGCAACAAATTTAATTAGTGCGATACAAACAATGACTCTATTTACCTAGAAAATGTTATCAAGTTGATAATCATTTTAAATACCTAAAAACATGATAATCATAGGCGTAATGGCTAATAATAATACAACCACTTAGAAAGAGCTAAATTTTGTGAAAGAAAGAGTAATAAATCAGAAGCTAAAAAATCAATTGTTCAAAAATAATATTCTTACAGAAAAAAATAACGTTCCAGTTTTCCTAATATTTATTTGAAAAATATAGGTGATTTAATCTCCCGCCTATATGACTAGATAAGTAAATATATTCCAAAAATATTCACTACAACCTTGTGCGAAAAATTTAATAATATAGGAAGATGTTGTCTTTTTCAAGGAAAACTATGTCAATAATAACACAATTATTGAAGAAAATAAGTTTATGTTTCATGTCAAAGTATGAGGCTTTGTATTTACAATCAATGACACCCTAGAGACGTAAACTTCCTTTATTTATTTTCTAAAATAACAGAAAACTTTATTTTATTCATTTTTCAGTGCGATATGACAAATTGTTCACATTGGAATTAAAATAGTTTAATTTAAAAATTACAAATTCCTGATATCACGAGATAAATTGTAGATAAATATATTGTAAATCGGTTATAACAAAATTATTTCTGCCAGTTCTGTGTCATTAGAACTGTACACGCGGAAAAAATCTGCTTTTAATTACGGAATCAAAATTAGAAAATGATCATTACTTTTAAATAACAACGAACAAAACGTTCTCAACTCGTTTCGAGAATATAAATATTTAAGAAACTGGGATTAGGATAAATGTGAAACTTTCTGTAGTCTTTTCCAGAGCTCGAGTTTCTCTTTACTTATAAACTTTATAATTTATTTATATGGTTTAATATATTTTGTAAACTTGATCAACCACTGATTGAAAGTTTACCAATAAATAATTCAGTGGTTGAGTATACGTATTAATCTCCCCGGAACAAAGTTTATATGCAAATAATTCGAGTTATAAAAATGTAAAGTGTGCGTAATCATTGGAAATAAAACAAGAATTACAAAACATAAAGCATCAACCGCATTAAACTATCACGTAGTGTTTGCAAGAAATGGACTCTTCTATATCTCCACACTATCATCATCGCGAGTAATAATTTAAACCTTTTCAAGAATGTAAAGAACATACACACACCACATAATGCATCGTAAATTTTTTTCAAGAAATGAGAAACACTCGAAGAAAATCTAATGTAAATGAAGATATCTTCGCGTGCACGTTGACACAATGAATTCTAATATGGTGGCTGACAAATGGGCCTGTTTTACTGCCATCCGGAGTACTCCGGACCGCGAGCTTTATCTAACCTTAGTTGTAAAGATTACGTCGCCGGTAGTTTTACGAGACGATAAATTAGATAATTCGAGACGTTATTATTTCATTATTTTTTTACAAGTGGCTCTAATTACCCGAAATTCCATAGTCGACGGGTTTCCAAATTTATAATCGAGCGGTTTTTCAACGGTAATTAGATTTGCGTCAGATGCGATGGTAAAACACTACACACACCGACAGACACGAAATCTACATCTGTCGTCTCGAAGAGAACGCGAGAGTGTCTTTAAAGTTGTTATTTTGGGCCGAGAGAGGGTTCATTAACACAAGAAGGCCTCTGGTTCGAAAATAAAGTGTCTCCAGGATGATCCGAGTAAAGATAAGTCGGAAAAAATCCCGGAAAAAAAAATTATAAAGGATACGGAGCCGGAGGAAACTTATTAGCACGGATAATTATATGCAATACGAGTACGTTTTAGGTACGGATATTATGCAGATCGAATTAAATGCTTAATGGTATAAATTGCAAGTGACTTGAATGATTGGTTATTGATGGAAGAAATCAGCCAAGACGAAAGGTTAAGCTCATAATCATAATGTTGAAGGCACCATCCGGCGAGTGAAGAGATTCCAAGAGAAATCGGTTTATGAGAGAATTGTTCATTGTGTCTTGAAAAAATATCGTCCGTAATAATAACACAATAACCACTTTACTCCGTCATTATTTCCGAAAAAGAATGCACACGTCGGAATAAATTCAAAAATAAAACCAAGAAAGTTTGAAAAATACTGTTATTATGCCATATTTCAGAAGCACCATAATCGAAATTCATTAAAAGTGGTATAGGATTTATCTTCTCACAATTTTGGCACATCATATTGTACTCCTAAGTAAAATACATACAATACAGGATGCGCCAGAACTCGCGCCCAGAGAAAAATGCAATATAATATAAAGATGTTAAAAAAAATCTATAAAAATTTTGAAGTTATGAGAGTTTAAATTTTGCTCTTTGACTATTTATTTCTGTTGTAAAAATAATTTTCAAAGTCTTTTTGCTACAGGCAATTAAAAGAGGAAATGTACCCTAAATTTTAATTCTGTTTAATGCTATTTGGCAAAATTTTTATACCTTTACTAAATAATTGTAAAAAAACATATACAAATCATCAGTATCATAACATTTTTTCCATGTTCCTGGTATCTTATCTTACATGAATTTTTCTCTGGGGCGCGAGTTCTGGCGTATTTGTATGTATTTGTTAATACACTCATAAAAATAATAGAAAATATTTAGTAATAGAAGAAAATCGAATTTCAGTATAGAGACTGGATTATAAAAAAGCCCCAACTCTATTATTTTTACTTCTTGGAACAAAGATGCACAGTTTACTGTCATCTATTTTTTGGAATATATGCTCACTTAACGTAAAGTGATGACAATAAACTGTTCAACTTTGATCAAAGAAGTATTGTCATGTCTTTAAAAATAGTGAAATTATAACATGGGGCGTTTTTTATAATCCAGCCTGTATAAAAATACACACGTCAATTTTTTTGTATAATTAATTAAAAAAACAAATGACCGTGAATTTATCGGTCTCCAAATAGATTCGTTATCACTTCTCAGAATAATTGATATGCCACCAAATTGGTATCTATTTCATCTACTTTCCATAAATATGAAAATCAATTGAAAATTTAAACAAATAATAAAAATTCAAGTAATAAAATAATCAGTAAATAACTTTCACAATTTCTATCATACTGAACATATTAGGTGTATTTTAATGTAATAATTGGAATTTTCAATATTACCTAAATTAAAATATTTTCTTTTTCAAAAAGTAATTTTTAGAAAATAAGTTAATAGGAAAAGTGTGGCCACTAGATTTTTATCGACCTTTTCTTTGTTTCCAAATTCTGTTGCGACTAAAATTATTATAGTATCACTATTTATATCACGTGTTAATCCATTTATTTTGAATTACATCAATATTTACGTCTTGCGTTTACTCTGTGTAATTAAAATGAGAAATATTTCTAATGTTAGGACCAACAATTTAGCAATCGTCAACACAAGGTTATTTATTTTCCTAGTATTTTTTAACCTCTTTCGTGATTCTTTGAAACCGAGCTACAATTAAGTAATTTTTAATTTCGTTTCATTTTCGAAGAAAAGCTCATTTTGATCATTTCCTGCCTTGACAATTAAGCGGTTTCTGGTACACCAATTGAAACCACTAAAATTATCTTTATTTAATTAGTTGATTTTAGTCAATTTCTCCGAAAACGTCAACGAAATTCACTAACCGTTACATTTTCTCTTTATTACAAAGATAACAATTTTTATTTTGTTACCAACACCTGTACCCCTATAATCAACAATAAAATATCGATTCAATTTATTCTACCGCATGAACAGTACTATTCGATGTTTACCGACTAATTCAATCGGCGACTTCGCTAAAATTAATTATCGATACTATCATTTTTCAATTAAAAAACCCACCCATATGAAATTGCAACGTAATGGCGCGTCCCAGAAAATATTCCTATTTGTTGCTTTCTTGACAGTCGTGACGATTCCATTATTACGATAACAATTATTTCCCAAGCAATTAGCCAATAATTAACAAGAAACGGAAATGTGCAACGGCTCATAGAATCGTTAAAACATCTATACAGAAACAATTACGATTTTCATTTGATGCAACTCCAAAGAAAAATTTATTATTTATTCTAATGTCTACATGAAATAACAAAATAACAAAGGTCGTGAGATTCTCTCCTAATCTCGTTAAACTGTGTCAGATCGCGTTAGAACCCCAGTTGGTGGTCTTCTCCACGGTTTAATCCTCACCCACATCTACAAAACCCATCAAATGGTCCTGAAACCAGGACAACGTCGTCATGGTAACGCGTTAATTGTACAAAAGCACAACTTGAATACAAGAGATCCTAATTATCGTACACAATCGTCATTTGTGAATTGTAATCGAATTTTAAACTTTGACAAGTGACGCGATTACTCGTTAAAAATTCAAGCGAATATGTGCACCGGAATTTAGTAAAATGTAACAAAAGCGGTCTCCACCAATCTAAACACGAGCTTTGATGTCGCCTCTTCAAAAAATCAAACGTTTAATTTTATTCTTTGTAACAATAGAATTGGATAGAAAGCTGCTTTTGTCCTACAGAGTGCTCTGTTATTATTATTCTACGAAAATTTCTTATATAAATTAAATTAAGCCGTAACCTGAGTCGAAAAGAGAATTCTCTATTGTGTTCAACGTTTTTGCTAATTTGTGTTAAGAGATTTGTAGGTCGTGCATAATAAAAATTTGACGTCCATAGCGACAACGGTTTGATAATTATTTTTCTGCATGGTCTGGTTTTGTCGGTGCAGATGGTAGGTGTGGATAGCCAAATGGTAAATGGCCTCTGTCACCATTTTCACACATCAATTTAACAATCTTGGTTTTTTAGTTACTGTTTATACAAACAGGATTTTGATTAAAGTAAAAGCCAAAAACTAAGCTCAAATGTTACACAATTTCAGCAGTTTTTTTTACAATATCTTTACAAAATCTTCCAAGCGTAAGAAAAGCTGTTAAGAAAGTTTTAAATTTTTAACTAGTTTAAATATTGGTAATTCCCTATTTCCAAATAAACTCTTCAAGGAAACTTTTAAAACCCGGTTTAAGCCGACAAGTTCACAATTTCTGTAGCAAACAGCGTGCAAACTGCAAACACGGCTCAAGCCGGTCTTGTAACGTTATTTCCAATAAACTTAACGTCTTTAAAAGAACTGTTAATAAGAATGTACTCTCCGAGTATTACAGACGCTATCAAACGATCCTCAATAAATTCCTGGAGTGTAACTACTGCGTTTTCAATTAATCAGAAGAACAAAAACAGGAAACATTCTCATAATAAAATATCAAATCACATCGAAGCGTGTGATTGTCTATAATGTACCGTATAAATCGTTCTTTAATTAGGATACTTTTTCGAGTTGTAAAATTACTATTCTGTATGATTAGTCCGCGAGCAAGGTTTCGAAACACACGCAATTTAGAGATCAATCAAAATCAAAGTTGAATATCTTTTCAAGACGCATCAATCTTTTGAGTAAAGTCTTCTCGGTATTTCTATTCAGAACCATCTGGCATGGGACTATTAAAAATGACGTGAAATTGTTACGTCACACCTTGTGCGTGAAAATTAAAAAAAACAAACAAACTTACCAGCATCTGCGGGTGGAGTAGGCGTTTCCTCCCTGGGTGACCTCTGTCCATCAAACTCGCTACTCTGCTGCTTCTGGAGGTCGAGATCTATCTCGAGGGCTGCCTTCTCGACTTCGTGTTTCTCCACAAACGGATTGAAGCTTCCGTCTGGATTATTATTGACAAGGCCTTCGGCTAAAGCCTTGGCCGCCGCTATCGACGGCGATAGCACATCGTCGACGGCGTCCACGTCGGTTTCAGGTCCCAAATCGTCATCATCGTCGAATTCCGACGCCGATCTTTTGCCGTTGGATTTCTCCGAATTGTGGTAGAAATCGCCAGAGGGTGAGACATCGGCACCGTTGTGTTTAAAGTTTTCGGCCAGGTTTAAGAGTAAACCGTCGGTTTTTTGACCCATTATGTTGGTATCGGCGCCGTTCGAATTGGCGAACGGGTTGTTGGCATTGTCGAGGCTCGTGTCCATTGTGATGGAAGAAGCGTTGCGGTTTGCCCAATGGGCTTCCGCCGCGATTTTTGATGGTTCGCGAAGGAATACTACTATCACAGAGATATTATCGGCAGATCCTCGATCTTTTGACAGCTGGACCAGGCGCTCGCTTATGAGATCGGTCTTGTCTGGAAGAAAAGGAACGTCAAAATGACAGGAATTTACTCGATTTTGACAACAATCGTCAGACATTAGTCTGATTTTTTACCACACAATTTCAGTTGTACAATTAAGTGAAAAAAAAAAACGCAAATTGATTTTTTTATAATGTAATTTGGCCTGTTAATAAATGCCAGTTTTTTTTTTCGTTGTTTTTGTCACAATTCACAATTTTATAATTGTCAAACTTTTATCAAGTTTTTCCATTTCGTTTTTAATAGTGACTGTGACACTGCACTGGCAACACCACCAAATACGACATTTATTTTGATAGTTTTCTAACCTTTTTGGGAATAACCTTTTTCACACTATGTAAATCTCTGAAAAATTTAACAATTTTGTTTTTCACAATTTGCGTTTTTTTTGCACTTAAGTGTAAATTGAAAGCATAATCCTCAGTTTTTTAAATCTAAATTTAATTATCCAAGTTAAGTCTAGACCACCAAAAATTGTCTCAGGAACACGACTATATAATCAGTTATTTTATACAACAAATAGCTTTCGATATACACCGGAGTGCAAAAAAAACCGCAAATTGTCAAATTTTTCAGAGATTTAGTGTGAAAAAGGTTGTTCTCAAATAGGTTAGAAAACTATCAAAAGAAATACCTTATTTGGTAGTCTTGACAGTGCAGTGTCATAGGTAGTCAGTGTTAAAAACAACATGTGGAAATGGAAAAACATGGAAAAACTTGATAGAAGTTTGGAAGATGCATGACAATTACGAAATTGTGAATTGTGACAAAGACAACGTCAAAAAACTGACACATTAACAGACTAAATTACTCGTACATTATAAAAAAAAATTATTTGCGTTTTTTTGCACTCAAGTGTACACCTCGTCTCAACTCAACCACACTGTCTACGTCACAAACATTTGATTTCTCTGTAAAAAAATGGACCCTAGTGACAAATTTAGAGCCAAGTACTCCACTATTTCATAGAAAAAAAAATATGACGGCTGACGAGGTATACAAATTTATCAATAAGAAATTACCTCCTAGAATTTGAACTTTTAGGAAAATTACTTTTTTCATGTTTTTAACTAGAATCTTCAGAAGTAATTTTGAATTCCTAAGATTGGTTAGCTGTTATTGTTGACGGTTGACATATTCTGTCAACTATCAACTGAGTACAAGCTGACAGGTGACTTAACCTAAATTTTTGACAATAATCCTTCTTCTTCCTCCCTATGCTGACAATAGTTACGGTATCTGTTTGTCACCGGAAACCAACCTAACCAAATTTATGGCAATCTAGTAACGAATATACCTAAATCCTAGGCAGTAATTTCTTGGTGATACGACAATATGTCACACAGTTGCGACGCTGCCAATGTGGCGATTGAAATAGCATGATGTATATTTATCAAATTTTTGTAATGAAATATGGCACATTTATTGATTTAGCCTTCTTGCTCCGCTACCAAATAATAACAGTCATCTTTCAAGATAATAAAACGATTCTCAAACATGACTGGATATTAAAAAGTACCAATAATTTCGTCACGTTTGCGATTAATTATAAGGATGCAATGAAGCACGTCTCGAAGATGCTTCATCTCGTTGCAATTCCCATCATGCCCAGTCACGACAAGACTCATTCTTGTCAACTGGACCATAGACGGATAAGATTTTGTCCGGTTTAGATAGATAACGAGATTGACATGCTCGACTAAAGAAAAATTTTCACCACCCAAAAATTCGCAAAAAATTCGTGACGTTCCCACAGTTATTATTATCACCAGAGATCTGTAACGTTAACTCACATACCTTTCCCGGAACAGTTAGTTGTTACAGCATGTCGTAAAATTTCATTTATGTTACCACTGATTACGCGGTAGAACTTGAGGTGTGCCTCAAAGAATTTAAGTGGAAAAAATCATTTTAATTTGCCACAGATAATAATCAAAGCTTATGTTGACGTTACGTCCAGATTTGCAGCATCATCATTCCACCCCAAACAAGCTTTTAACGAGGTTATTATCCTACTGAACTTGCTATAATTACAAACTACATATGAATTAACTCTTCTCGAACGAAAATCAATACATGTCAGAAGTAATTGCTACGATATCAAAACATCGCTTTTGCCAAAAGCAATATAACTCTAATAACAGCTGTCAAAATTCCTTAATCACAACTTTGGTAAATTTGCAATTCAAAAATTCAAACTACCAATTAGCTCAATAGCAAAAAGTGGTAAAGCTCCTTCCAAACTCATATCAAAAACTTCAACCAATTGCAATTCATTTTAGTTTAGCGTTGCCTAGCCACTGAATGTGTCCACAACAAATCGAGGCAGGTTTTAAGTGTAAATTATCGGAAAATTGAGCATGGCTAACTAGACCACCTTTGAACGATGATGGTGGCTGTCGCCGCCACCTGCAGAACGTCTGCACCGAACGGTGACTGCCTCAAGGGTCGACGAACTGATGTACTTTACGGCCGATGAATCTACTCTTACACCTCACCGCCTCGAAGAAGAGTTTTGTTTTGGACGTGGAAACGCCCAGAAGACGACGTACCACACACCTAGACGTCGTCGTAATGAAACGACGACAGCATAAATCAACGAAGTGGGCGATGGCTTCTCCACCTTCAAGACGGAATTACCATTTATGGAACAATTGGGCACGAGATTTGCCTCGTTTAAAGTGTGATAAACGACCCGTGCGCGAATATTTCCCCATTAAAAGCCAAAAAATCGCAAAAAAAAGAAGTTAAAGCTCGACTCGGTGTTATAAATAAGTGGTGCGAGAGCCAAGGAATGCGTATACATCGTCTTCACGACTATCACAGAAAAGATATGAGACGGTGATTTATGGTCAAACATGCTTGTGCAAACTTATCGGTCTGAAATAAGAAGAAGGGAATGTTTCACGTCTCATTTTCCTATTTCTACTACAGTAGATCGGTGCTGTGGTTTCAAAAGTGTCATAAATTTATTCCGGAGCTTTTGTACAAGTGTTGCCGTGATTAATGGACGAACTTTAAGACACAACGTGTGCTTTATCGTCAAGAAATTAATTAACTAACTGGCAAAGCATGAAAAAAGTATTGGCCAGCTAATGAAAACGATTTTAATCCGATAATTGGTAATTAAGCTCAGGATTGTATAGCCATCGAATTACAAATTACGGTGGGGATTTAGCAAAGTTCCCGCTTTATATACATATTGGAATGTTGGCGAAAGCCAGATATGCAATCAAGGGGTGGGATGTTAATTAAAACGGAAGAAGTACATTTACAGTCTTCCAAGCAAATTGCAACCCAATATTGGATCAGAAATCAGAGGAAAGATAAGGATCCGAATTTGCTGTCACATTGTGATTCTGACGAATTACTGTAATAACCCAAGTCCAGAATTGGCCACATCCTGTTTTGTCCAGATTAAAAGAATCCTAACATATGCCGATATTACTTACATAATGACTTCCTGCTCTATCATAATGACGGATTCGAATTGATTATAGATCTGAGTCTTGCTGCCACCTTAATTGGCGTACGTCGACATAAAATGATCATTAAAACGAGCACGCGTCTCAAAACTTCCCCAGACAAAGTTAAAAAGTCATCGAACTTAAAATTTAGATCAGTCTGAATGTAGGGTGCGAATAGGTGTGTCGCGAGGGTGAGGTTTCAAGCAAACAGGCGTGACTCTATTTGATTAATTAAATCAACCGACTAATTAAGTTGTGGAAAAACTCATAACTGAGAGAAGTGTGTTATTACACGGCTATTATTCTCCGTTTATAGCGAGACGACAAAAACGCTTTTCCATATAACATAAAGAAGAAAATGTTAATAAACGCCAAGGAATTTGCTGAAAATAGAAGAGCAAGGGTAATTAACTGACCAATACAACGTTTCTTGGATAGTGACACGAGGTGGTGATCCAGATTGCAGTGAATTAATTACTGAGAAGCTATTTTCGGATAGGAAGTGATAAAAACGTTGAAAAACTTTAACCTTTGCCTTATCAATAAATGAAAATGTTGTCTTCGGCGAGACGGTGCCAGCAATGGCAAACTGATAAACAAATTGCAATTTTAAGAAAAACAAGAAATTGATCACAAAAAACTTAAAAATTTTACAAAAGATAAAAATCCGAATTAAATCCACAATATATAAATTGTCTTTTAAAAAGTTTTAACAGTTACGACTTTTATTTTTTAAGATGTAATTAAGTAGGTAGCCAAGAATTTACCTGAACTTGATGTTGAATTCTCAACAATTTTTTTATAATTTTCAAATTCTGCCATGAAAACCAGAAACCCTTTATACTCGAAAGTCGATATTGATACTGCTGTAAGTTTTAAAAGTAAAAATTCTAAAAATCTGAAAATTACTTTCGTTTATAGAAACGATTTCCAAATTTACAGTAATTCCCAGGTCGTAAATCTGAATTCTATAGCTTCAGAAACAAGATTGAAAATTATATTTTTTTGTATAATCTTTTAGTTTAGTTATTTTTTTGATCTTTTCCTAACAGGTAAATTGCAAAAAAAAATTATGAAAAAAACAGTTTAAACACAATTTGGGCCCTAAAGCTTCTGGATCGGTCCTGTATGTGTAGAATTTTAGACATTTTATTAATACCAACGTTTCGACCGTTTTGGCGTATGACATCATGGGATGTGTCGGACGTGCTGTTTTTATTACTTAGTCATTGTGGTACATGTATTTTCCACACGGCCACACTTCATTTTTCTATCTTTCTTTTGCACACTACTATCACCATACATACCGAGTGATCAAAACCGCAAATGTTCAACACCCAAATTAACCCAACAGTTGATTCATTGCGCTGATGTGTGCTTAGAAATATTTATTAACCACTCAAGCAAAACAGTAAACTTGAAAAAAATTACATAATAAGAGTGATTAAGAAAATGATCTACAACAAGAACAGGATAACGAAAAAATCACACAACGACGTCAATATCACTATAAATAGAGTCACAAAT